TCAAAGAATATAATCTTCAGTTAAATGGAAATGACAGCTGCTTGAGCTAAGGAGGCAGATGACAAGCAGAAGAGCACAAGTGTGGAATCAACAGATCTATCAGAGCTAACCCTATTTCTGCTACTGACTTGCTATGTAAGCTGAGGCATGCCACTTAACATTTCCTTGCTGCAGTTCCTGTATCTATAAAAAGGAAATAGTAATATTTACCCACCTCTGAGAAATATTTTATTTTTAAAAAGTACTTCGCAAACCCAGCAAATATTGTAAATTGACATTCCACAATGCCATGTCAAATAGAGAAATAGCAGTTATAATCAACAAAGTCAACAAAGAAAGTACAAGAAATACTAAAAGGCAAAGACAGTGCATTAGTTTTAGGAAAAGTATTAGAACTATAAGCAAGCAGTACAGGAACTAATTTCACAGGGAGACTGTCCAATTACTTTCAGTGGTGATATTCAATGTTGTGCTTTGCTGTCAAAGGAAAATGAAATAAGGTTGTGAAGACCAGCATGTTAACAGCAGGTGGCATGTGTTATCTGTAGAGATAGTAAAATGTCTTGTTGCTCTCCAAATAGTTATTTAGCTGCTTCCTGCATTTGACAAGTCATGTTGAGAGCCAATATTTACAAAACTCTTTATCAGAAAACTTACTTGTGTAAAGTTTAAGTTTTCAGAGCTGCTCAGAGGACTTACACCCTGGACAAGTCAATGGGTTATTGCTGCGTATTTGGCTGATACCTGGAGCTCATTTTATCCATATTTTCCAGCACTGATTTCCAGTTTGGGGTTCACAATTTTGCCACTTATTTATTCACTCATGTAAAGTATCTGGATGTGTCTGAAAATCAGCTAGTTAAATGTCTAAGTGGCATAAATTGCAAATAATTTCCACTGCAAAACCACACCTATGGATTTCAGACACAATGTCAAAGACTGAAGATGTACACTTGCAATGTACATGTCTAGGAGGACTTTACCTGGCTGCTGCCATTTTATACTGCTTTTGATTTAGGACTTTAAAAACAGATTCTTCAAGGCTGCTTGTGTTTGCTGGTGTGAACTCCCCAGCTACATCATTGCATGCTGATATCTTCAGCTAGACAGTCATGAATGACTCTTCCATCCTAGAAAGTTGGGAGCATTCAAAGGGAATCGTATGCATATGATTGGTTTTGAACATTCTCCTTTACTCCCATCCTTCTTGAAAAATATAAAAAGGAGTGGACAGGAGGGAAAAGGGTAGGCTCACTCTTAAGACAGTGCAAGTATGGTATTAGGCTGATGAAGCAACTGTCATATAGACACAGACCCAGTATTCTATCTCCTGGTAAGGAACCTAACACACTTTTTGTAAGAATAGTGGTGTTGACTCTAATGATGTGGCCAGAACATGCATTCAGTTTCCAATATTTTATAGGGAGTTGAAGTATTGAGAAACCCTCCTGGACCCAGAAAATGCTATCCCAGTTACAAGGAGGAAGGGCCAAGGAGGAAGACTAAAGTGAGGGAGGAAACCAAGCCTGGCTGAATAAAGATAAGAAAGAATGCAACCAAACGAACCTCACCTGAAAAGAGATTCAAGTTTGGGGGTATGCAGCCATTCAAGATGGTTCATTTTTGCCTGGAATCACTCTTTAGTGTCAGCTCAACCAGAAAGGCATGTGGCAATTTTAATACTAATATGGTTCAAAGACAACAAACTATGTCACCTCACCCAGAAGCAGGTTACTCAAGTAACTGCATGTGGAACCCAGGGTCACCAGGCATGCAGCAGTACTCTATGAATACTAGAACTCTAGCTGAATATCTTAAGATATTTTGCCAGCAGCACACAGCAGTGTCTCAGAGGTATACTAAATATTTTACCCAAGTTTGAGAAGCAAAGTCACCCTCCTCTCGTTTACAGTACTTGATATTTGTCTTCTTACATTAACTTTAAAAGTCCATATTTGAGTAAATATAAAATGAGATTCTCCCCCTCACCACTGCCCTCATCAACATGGTCGGGGCAAAGCCCCTCCTCTTATATTCACACACAAGAAAACCATCATTAAATACATTACCTATTATTAAACTGCTGTCAGAAGCAACATGTGCTCAGTAATAGAAACCAACCAGGAAGCTGATTGAACGCAGTCCACACTCAGCATGCCTATAAAACACCTGACTCATGTTAGGAAAACATGTTGATGGGAACTTATCATAAGGCTAAGTCAATACAGCCCATCTGAATATGGTAGTGCCCATTGTGCTCAATTCATGGTGAGCTACTACATTAAATACAGTTTTACTTGTTCTTCACTTCCGCATCTGAGCTGCCCCTTTCCTTCTTGTTTACAATGATTCCTGTTCTTTCACCTGCCTTAAATGTCTGGCAAGCATCACCAAACATATATGTAGGTGAGAGGCTCTGTCACGCCCTCTGAGCCCATTGCATGTGATTGATGTGGCCTTGACCTCCATGATGTTGAGTTGAACCAAGTAGCCCTACGTTTCACCTGCACATACATTTTTGGAGGATCCCAGGACTCATGACAAGACAAGAGATGACAAGAGCACCCAGTTCCAGTTGAGAGTGGGGACACAAGGCTTAGCACGTGGATCTTTATTGGGATGGGGAAGGGGGAGATGTCTGGAGTACACACACACACACAATACTGTGTTGAGCTGTAGGGTCACCATGGCTTGAAACACTTTTGACACTGCTGGAGCCCAGCCCAATGAACTATATGATAAATCATAAGCCTTTTGGCTTTAGAGTAATATTATGGACAATTTGTACTATGTTTAAGTGGGTATGAAAGTACTGTTAAAAAATGTGGTTATGTGCTGTGCTGAAACTTGCAGCAGTTTCCAAAAAAAAAAGGTAAAATGCATTGGATGAACTAGGTCTATAGATACTCATGCTAATTTGCCTATATGCAGATTATTATAGGTATGCTTATCTCAAAGTCAGTATTTTTTGGTCCCTTGCATTTCAAATTACCCCTTTGCTTCCATGTGCTCAGGGAAGGAACAGACCCCGAATAGGGTCAGATAGTAAGCAGGGTGAAAGGGCAAAGGGGGGTACCTGACCTCCTAGCCACTATTTTCTGTTCTGTGGCAGTGGGAAGGGGACAATTCAAGACAACTCTCCAATAATTAGATTCTATACCTGAAAAATTATAACAAATTTGTAAATTTTCCATGTATATAATCTAATTATTAAGGGGGTTATCTTAAGTTCAGGGTCATCTTAGATTTGAGTAAATGCAGTAATATGCACAGTGGTACATTACATAAGCACTACAATCTTGTCAAGGAACTAGGAAAATAATTAAGAACAAAGGTTTGCCTTTGTTACTGAAATACAGCTTCTACCAAGGTCAGATGGTACAAACAGACTGGTTTTCAAAAATTTGCATTTGAAACTGTACTTTTTATTGCATGTCAGAGACAGAAGCAGCAGCAAGTTTGTTGCACAGAGTTTGGAAACATGAGGCATAGTAAGAATAGAAAGCCAGAGTATTTTGATATGGAAAGATTTTTTTATTAAGGACAGGGAAGTGAAGGAAGAGAACTATTATGACTGAGAAATTCAGAGAGAGCTAAAGAGTATACTCTTCAGAGTCAAGGGAATTGATACAAATATGTAAAAGGTCTCCAAGGGACTCCAAAATAAGTGTGTACCAATTATCTTTGACTAGATACAGCAAAGAAGCATAGTGAGATGATAGGCCTAGGTAGGTCTGAATTAAGTTTGGGCACCATCACCAAGGTGCATAGAAGAAGAGATGCATAAGGGGCTAACATCCAGCATGCAATCTGACTCCGCATGAACAGACACTGTTCCATTAAGTTCTGGACATGATTTTCTTTAAAGAAAAACAAAGAATAGGTATTTTCCTCTTCACTCCCAGAAATGCACATAGTCTAGCTGAAGTCCAGCTCAACTTTTCCACACTAGCAGTGAAGATGCTAAAACTAGTCCCCAATTTAAAGAGTGGCTTTCCTGTGAACAAGATAAACTGAATAACCAGAGAAGGTGATTACTTAAATTAAAATAAGACACATATACTTACCAATAGACAATGCAGTCATATGTCTTTTAAGCATATTAAACAGGTGCTTATGCTTAGCTTTTTCCAGTGACCTTGGAAATGTTGCTTGAGGTGATGTAATCTGGACTAAACAATGAGGCTGGTTATTTCTGGCGGGAAGAATCTACGTAGCTAAGTATTTAACTGTGGGGGGGCTTTGTTTGTTTTTATATCTCACTGCTTAATTAGCAATAATAAAACAAATCCTAGTTTGCTGTATGCATGAAGTCCAGAATGTTCTGATGTGAAAAAATTCCAAACTGGGGTCTTAATGGCAACACATCACGCTTGCTAAAAATATCTTTAAGACATGAATTAACTTAAATATCGAGTTCATTTCATGACCACAGGTACTTTGCCTCAGTCTCTTCAGTTAATATTTCTCCTAGTTGTGCAGCAAGTGTGTTACTATTAGTTTGCTGGCCTTCATCCCAGAGCTGACTGGATCTCAGCACTGTGAAATATTTGCATGCTGAACAGTTTAAGTGCTCTGGGGAAGAAAGGTTGTATCAGCATGTGCAAATATGCTCTTAAGATCCTCTAGAATCAAGTTGTTTTTTGTTTCAAAATAGGCTAATGTCAAATTGCATGGAACCCACTCTTTGCTATCGTTGAACCTGGGTCAAATTTTCAAAAAATGGCTTCTGAAAATGTTCTTGCAATGTTGTAAGCACAGAAACCCTGTCTAACCACTTGGTTTACACCAGACAAAAATTAACTGAAGCACTACATGAACTCATTTGGAAAGATAGGAGGACTCATTTGGAGGAAGGAGAACCCAAGTAATCATAGGCCTGTAAGCCTCACCTCAGTGCTCGGGAAGATCTTGGAGAGAATCATCAAGGAGCACATCTGTGGGGGGCCAGCAGGGGAGATCATGCTCAGGGGCAATCAGCATGGGTTCATCAAAGGCAGGTCCTGCCTGACCAAGCTGATTGCCTTTTATGACCAAGTAACTAAATCCTTGGATGATGGTGTCGCCATGGACGTAGTCTTTCTACACTTTAAGAAGGCCTTTGACACTGTCTCTCACCCCATCCTCATCAATAAATTAAGTGACTGTG